GCTCGGGCCGGCCCGGAGGCGGGGGCCGGTGGCTGCTCCTCGGCCGGGTGCTCGCTGGCGCCCGGCTCCCGCCTGCGCCCGGATCCGCGATCGCGCGCCGACTGCGGCGGCCGCCCTCCGCTCGGCGGCGGGGCTTTCAGACACAATTTGAAGTTGATGCTTTGATTGGCATCCCCTTGAGCGCTGGCCCCGCCCCCGGCTCCCCTCCTGCCCCCTCCCTGGCTCCCGCCCGCCCTCGCCGGCTGCTCCCGCCCCTCCCGGCGAACACGTGGTGCCCAGCGCCGGCCGGGCCACCTCCGCCCGCGGTGGCCGCGCGACCGGCCGGGCAGCGGGTGCGGGCCCGAAGGCCGCGGGCTCCTTCCCCGCCGGCCCCCGGGGCTGTCTGACAACCTGTCGACGCCGGTTTACAGCTGTCGGACACCGCAGCTGGCAGTTTCGCAGCCGAGGTGTGTCCTGCTTGCTCACAAAAAACACCTCGGCGCCTGCTTTTCCACCGTTCGGGCGGCGGGGAAGGGGCGGGCGGGAGCGCGATGACAGCCGGCGGGGAGCGGCCTCTCCTCCGAGGTCCATGCTGCCTTTGGCTCCCCGGGTCATCTTTGGCGGAAGTGCCACGAAACCGGCGTGGAGCGACACCCCGACGCGGGCGTGGCGTCCCCGTGGCCCCCACTAGGTATTAACAGATCATCAAGCAGGGGCTAGGCTGGCCTCGCTGCACTTGGAGAAGCGGGAAGCGGCCGATCCCTGCAGGCTTTTCCAATTGTGAAAACTTTGAGAAAGGGCAACCCCAGCCGGGAAGCCACTAGCTTGAGGGAAGCAGATGGTCGGTTCTTGGGAGTGAGGGAAAAGGACCATTTTTCTTTGCGGAGAAAGGACCACTGCGGCCGGGAGGGAAGCAATCCGCCCCCACCCCGGCGATGGGAGAGGCCAGCCTGGCCTGGACCCCCTCGTTTGTCCACTAGGTGAGCAAAGGCGGGAAGTAAACTTGTGTGGAGCGCGTCGGCCCGAGGCGGCGCCGCGACCAGGCCGGGGAGCCGGCTTCCCTCTCCTGCCCCCGCCAGAAGAGCGGCGAGCGACCCGGCCGGGCAGAGCGCGCGCTGGGGGGTGGCTCCGGATTGCCTGGTGTCCCGTGGGGCTGGGGCGCAGACGCCGAGGGCAAGGTCCTCCCCGCCTCCCTGTGCCCTTGGACCTCTCGGGCAGGCCGCTTCGGCGCTGCGCTCAGTGGCTTGGTCCTGGAGGCCAGGGGAGGAGCGCACCCAGGATACCTGCCTGGCCTCCCGGGGCCGCTTTGCGCTCCATCTCCTAAGCTGCAGCCGGCGCCAGGCGTGTACTCCCTGCTGCTGCGTTCGGGCACGCGGCACCCGGCGGGAATTTCATCCAGGGACCTGAGTGGTGACCTCGCTTGGGGGCCGTTTGGGGCAACAGAACTGAGGCCATGCCCCCAGAATGCTGTGATGCTGGTGACCTGGGCCACCTGTACCCTGGACACCGACCCGATCACCATCCTCTAGTTCCCTATTCCAGCGGCCCCAACCTACTAGGTCCAAGGACTCCCCGAGCATCAGGAAAGATCCCGTTTCCCCCATCTGGGGGCCTGAGGACAATCACAGAGCCACCGCCTATAATTAGCGACAATAACGCCCATAATAGTAATTACTAATTACCAGCTGTGTAATCAGGCTTTATTTTCTGTGTTCAGAGTCAGGTTTTCTTCCCGTTCATACCGTCCCCCCTCTTCTCCAACCCCTACCCCCACCCCACTAACCAGTCCCTGCTCACACCAGGAACCCCGTGCAAATGCTTGGGCTCCTTTCCTGCTCTGGCAGCTTCTGGGGGGCCGCAGGTGGTCAGTCCTGCTCTGGGAAGCCCCTAACCACAGCTTCCTCCTGCTGCCCACCCCACCACCCTGCACTCCCCAGCTCCCTCTCCCCAAAACTCCCTCTCCCCAAAACAAACCGACTGGCCATCCCCACCACTGTGCTGTTCAGCAAACTCCAGTGTCACATTTCATGGTGACAGGTAAATACAGGTGAGATAAGCCCTCTTGTGTGACTTGGAGAACCAGGTGGAATGTAAGCCCAGAGAAAATACTCAGTGTCAAGATTCAGCCACAGGGATGAATCACCTGCCCACCTCCTACCTGCAGCAGCCCACCTTGACTCCCATCACACTGTAGCCCTCACAACCTGGAGAGAGATGGAGGGAGACAGGGCAGCAGGCTTTGTCCAGACCCTCAACCAGCCCAGCAGTGCCACCCGCTGTGCCTGGTCTGTGCCACCTCCTTTCTGGTCATGAAGTGATTGTAGGTTCCTGAAGGCACCTGGGAGGTGATTGGGAATGGCACACCAGAAACGGTGCCTGAGGATAAGGAGGTGATGGGGGAACTACTACCAGAAAGGCCTGTGGCCTTGCCCCCAGGGAGCCCTGGAGAGGTTTCTGTGGCCTTGTCCCCAGGGAGCCCTGGAGAGGTTTCTGTGGCCTCGCTCCCAGGGAGCCCTGGAGAGGTGCCTGTGGTCTCGCCCCCAGGGAGCCCTGGAGAGGTGCCTGTGGCCTTTCTCTTTCCC